TGTTATGAGACTTCTTCCACTCAAGACAACCATTGAAAGCACTTTAATGATACAACAGAGTGAACAAAGACACAGACAGAGAGATGCTAATTTGTAGGAAGCACAAATAAATGACTATGAATGGCAAGATAGTGAATAATAAGATCTAGAGATGTAAAGGAAGAGACTTGAGCAAGAACATGATGTTTCAGCTGTATTTGGAAAAAAACTACTATCACCTGAATATTTGTGTCTTCCTAAACTTCGGGTGTTGAAACTTGTGTATGTGTTGCATGTGTGTGCGCGTGCGTGTGTGTGTGTGTGTGTGTGTGTGTGTGTGTGTGTGTTGGCGATCAAACCAGGGCCTTGCACAGGCCAAGCAAATACTTTGAGTTACACCACCAGTTCTCATGAGTTGAAATTTAAATACACTTGCATGTGATAGTATTACATTTTGGGTCCTTTTGAGATGCAGTGAAGTCATGGGAAGTCTGCCTCAGGAATGGACTTGGGACCCTTAGAAAAGAGGCTGAAAGGGGCATGTCTGTCCCTTCTATTATGTAAGACAACATAGACGGCACTATCTGTCAAACAAGGTGACTCTCACCAGAGACTGAATCTGCTGGCATCTTGATCTTGGACCTCATGGCCTCCAGAACTGAAAGCAATTAATTTCTGCTGCTCATAAATTATTCAGTCTAAGGCACTTTGTTCTAGCAGTCCAAACAGCCTAAAAGGACAATGGAGCTGCCAATTATGATTTCTCAATTTATCTGTTTAAAAATTTAATTTGGGGCACACTGTTTCATCACATCTGTGCAGGTGGGGATAAAAATTTGACCTGTGTTTTGTAAATGAAACATCAGAGGAGAAGCTAAAAAGGTTTATTTCCACATGAAGTCTTGGTTACGATAAATTTGATAGGGGAGATGGGAAATTACGTTACAGAAGCTTATATGAATAAGTGCCTATAAAAGTGTTTGAGCTGTGAAATGTAGGAATATACAAAACTACCTGATTATTCTAATACTCTATTTTTTAGATCATTTAGAGGATATAAATTTTAACACTATCCATATATTGGTCATTGGATGCTTTTAAAATTTTTTTCCCATAGGATGAGTGTTAATAACTTGTGGCCCAGATTTCCAAAAAGTTCTTTTTGAGAAATGCTGAATTATAGTTATTTCTAAGATGCAACTCTTTGATTAGTAGTCAGATCTTTTAAAAGGTCATTAATATTCAAGTTAAGATTTTTAATCATAACCATAAGTGGCCATGTTAGTTAAATTAATTTGCAAGGTATTGGAAGAATATTTTTGGAAGTATGAAGAACACTATTGTCATGAAAATACAGGTAATATATGCATATATCTATGTATGTATATATAAATATGTGTTTTCTTCTATTCAATTCAGTCCACAAAACTCAGTGATAATAATTTACCTGATACCTGCTTTGTGGAGGCCATATTGAATAGCAAAACAGTAGAAAGTACTTTGATAACATCTTTCAAAGTCTTTGCCAAGAGAGCAAAAAAAAAAAAAAAAAGAAAAGAAAAAGAAAAAAAAACAACCCTGTTACTTGCAGTTGCAATGGGTGGTTTGCACTTGCTTTAATCTCACTGTCTGTGACTTTGTCAGCAAAATATACAATAGTAATAAGTGGACATTTAAAAGGCTGCTATTGGTTCTCTGCAGACTCATTCCTTTAGGTTTGAAGGTTTTAAATAGCAGTACACACTGTCTAAAAGAAAAGTTCAGAGCAAGTGTAATTGGGAATAAGAAAGGCTTTCTCTTCTCCAAGCATGACATTGGCTTTAGTTTCGAGGGAGCAAAGAATTGATTATTTATTTACTCTTTGCATGCAAATAGACAGTGGAGCCATTCTCAGTCTTCTAAGAAAGGCTGTTACTATGAAACGTTCCTTCTCTCTGGAAAAAGTCGTTACCTTTTTTCTTATGTGTCAGCAAAATTCAGGCATGACTTTCTTCCCAGGTACGTCATGTTGGTGCTGGCATCTGTGCCTGCCCTCGCTGAGTCACCTTGGACAGGCCTGCTTTGTCCTTTAGATCTTCTCTGCCTTGCACCTCCTTTCCCTTATTCCTGTGTTGCTCCTCCTGCAGGCCTTTCTCGAAACAAATTTAGGACCTTTAGTAAACGAGTTCAAACAAAACTGATTCAAAAAGCTTTATAGTTCCTGCCTTAGGTTTAAGTCTCTAATAAGCACAGTAATAAACTTGACTTTCCCAGGCACCATCAGACGCCCTGAAATGTGGCTGCACATCTTGCTTTGAAGACATCAAAAATGTCTCAGCAGCCTGAGACCAGACAGAATTTGCAGCCCCTGTGTAGCTTGGCCTCATCCCTACCAACACTGTCCTCATGCCTGCCATCCTCAACAGCTCCCCTAAGCCCCTCACTCCAAAACTTTCATCCTTCTCTGCCCAAACCACTCTGCAAGATCTCCATGTGGCTGACTCCATATCATAATTTGAGTTCCTTCTTTAACATCACTTCCTTGGGGTGGTCCTTCCTGGCCCCCCAAGTCAACATAGTACCACCAGCCAGCCCCTTGCCTCCCGTTCCCTTCTCGTGCTCTGTGTTTCCTTTTGCATTTATCAGTAACTGCATAGTTACTCAATTACTTATGTTTCTCTACCACCAGAATACAAGCCTCAGGAAGATACAAACTTGCTCACAAATTGATTCACAACTTCTTGTTTGAAAGCTTTTCCCTGGAGATTCTGACTTTATACATCTGCAGTGTGGAATATCGGTTCTGAATAGACCACCCAGGTGTTTTGTTTGGTTTTGCTTTGTTTTGTTTTGTTTCATTTTGTTTTGTTTCGAGACAAATTCTCTCTGTATCGATCATGCTGGCCTTCAACTCAATATCCTCCTGTCTCAGTGTCCTGACTCCTGGGATTACAGGTATACATCACCTCGCCCAGCCAGGTAATTTTGAAATAACTAAGTGGAGTGGCATTTGGAAGGCACTAACCAACATTGAACGTTTCCTAAAGCCTAAGGTGCTCTTTGTTGTTGAAGGTTTATTTTGTTGTTTTGTTCATTTTTTAGATTAAATTGCTTTTTCGAACTGATCTACAAAAATATTTTTAAAAACCATGTGATTTTTTGATATATGTATAAGTGTATAATGTTTAAATCAGGTTAAATATTTATCTCAGCAAATGTTTCTATTTCTTTATGGTGAAAACATTCAGTCTTTCCTTGTAGCTCTAGCCTTTTGAAATATAGAGCATATAACTGTCGTCTGTACTTACTCTACTGTGCCTCAGGACTCTTGGGAATTCTTGTTATGGTCTGGAAATCACATTCAGGGCCTCATGCATGCTAGGCAAGCACCCTACTACTGAGCTATACCCCTGCCTAGTTTCATTAATTTTTAAAGAAAGGAGAAGCTTCTTTACTTTCCAAGGCCAGAACTCTGAGACTCAGTGTTGTGAGATCTGCCAGGAATCACCAGTAATAATAATAATTGCAAAGTGAAATGGAAAGCAGAGACTCTTAGAGAGATGCCATCATTTGCAAGGACTTTGAAAATGACCCTCTAGTGATGAGAGTATTTACTACTATTTTTCTGGAGCTGAGTGTATAAGGCATCGTCCTGGTGATGTTGATCATTTTCAGCCCCCAACATCTAATGTCTACGTGGACTGAGGACTCCGTTTCCTTCACTCTGCTTCTTGCATTATCACCACCACCACCGTCTCTTAGTGGTTTGGTGCTTGTGCTGCTGTGTTTGAAGGATATGGAGTAGAACCTTCCACTGTAACAGTTCAGAGAGAACAAAGGTGAGCAGCTCTGGGGTTCAGAAAAGCCCCCCAGAGATGCTTCCCCTGGATTTTAGGAAGAGGGAAGTTATGTTCTGATACACCAAGTACTAAAATAAAAAAAGGTAAATTGTTGTAAATAGAAGGATAATCCATTGTTTATGGAGTAAATTCAGCATGGGAGAGCTAAAGAAAGTGAGGAAAACTCCAGATCAACAGGCAAGGGAGAAGACCGGGGAGACAAGATCTAAACGAGCTCTATGGGCTCAGCATCGAAACCATGAACGAAGTCTCACCAGTGGTTTCTCTCTGGGCTGATTCCTAGAATCCCAAAGTAATTTCTTATGTCTGGTTAGTGGTATAGCACACAAATCAACGAGAGGACTGGACTGATTAAAAAGTAACTGTAGTTAACTGCCACATAGTTGCCTCACTCTTTTGGCATTTATTTCCTCTGATATTTGTAAACAGTCGTCACATTTCCCCTTCATCATCTTCTGACCAAGCTCCATATGGTTTAATCCTCCTCTTCCATTCCATTCCGCCAGCCGGTTAATCACTTCCCTTGTGCTTTCTGATCCTCCACCCAATTTGTTCATTTTTTAGGAAACTGGCACCCCATTATTCCAGCTGCAGACACACAGTGGTGTTTATAATTAATATTTATTAAGTGCTAACTGGGTGCTGGCCCTTGCATTAGGCTTTGAAAAGGGCTCCAGTTGCCCTTTTTGTTTATTTATTGAATCAGTGTCCCCCAGTTCCATGACCTCCCACTGTCTCATGGTCCCCTAGTGTAACCTGTCTCTTCTTTAAAAATTTTGACACATAGTAATTGTATATATTTATGGGTACAGTGTGACATTTCACTTGACTCTTTCTTAGAGGTGAAGAACACCATAGCATTAGCATGAGAACTACAAAAGTAACTATTCCTTCTCTGAGCCACCAGTTTTCTGCAATTCAAATGTTACTACAGTATTTTTACTGTAGCAAGATAGACAGTCCTATCAACCCTAAGAAATTCTCAGACTTCCCATGAACAATCTTGAAGAACTTTTAACCCATGCTATTTGAACCTGAAATTTCCAAAAGCAAAGAAATAGCAATTACTTTAATTCTTACCTTTACCCCCAGTAGATGGAGAGGGTGATGGGAAAATACATTGTGATTCAATTCTGACTCAGTTTCCCCAGTACAGTGGAGAATAGACTGACCCGGAACAGG